TCAGTAGAAGACTCAGGGCACTCAGTAGAAGACTCAGGGCACTCAGTAGAAGACTCAGGGTAATCAGTAGAAGACTCAGGGCACTCAGTAGAAGACTCAGGGCACTCAGTAGAAGACTCAAGGCACTCTGTAGAAGACTCAGGGCACTCAGTGGAAGACTCAGGGCACTCAGTAGAAGACTCAGGGCACTCAGTAGAAGACTCAAGGCACTCAGTAGAAGACTCAGGACTGGTTGTGAGGGTCTAACAACACCCCTGCCTTGTTACTTGCTACAAAGTTACAATGTTGCAGTCTTATCACTGGGGAAAGGGGAGACTTAGCAAATGCTTCATCCTGCCTGCAGCAGACTGATGACATCATCTTAGCCTAGGGAAAGTCAAGGAACAGCTTTTTAATAATAAAATGTGGAGAATTTCTGAAAAATGACCCTGTTGCTGTACAATGTGATATGCATCATTCATGCAAACGTAAGGTCCACTTTAAAGACTCGGTAACCTCGGGAAAATACTTGTCTGTAATGTCCGGTGCAGGAGAATGAGTACAGAGGATACATTTTGTATGACCCATTGATACAATTTATGTACAGTTCCAGGATTTGTGGTTGTTTCCTCAAAAAATAATGTTGCTTCTCGCACCAAACAGTGTTCTATGTCTCACAGCACCATGTCATAATAGAAATAGAAATGTTGAGAATACAATTCAATTTCTTAATAACTTACTAAACAGTATTGTGTTCAGGTTGTCATCAATAAAATATGTTTGAATTATGTTTTTCTGCCTGTATTTGCGGAAAAGGACTGTGTGTGTCAGTGTGTCGGTGTGTCGGTGTGTCGGTGTGTCGGTGTGTAGAGAATATCATGACTCCCCGAATTACATTGCCTATATACAGTATACGCTATATGACCAAAGGTTTGTAGACCCCCCTCCAAATGATGGAGTTGCATTGTTTCCAGTGAAGAGTCCTGTTCATCCTCCATCATACAAAGACATTGTAGACAATTGTCCTCTTCCAGCCTTGTGGTCACAGTTTGGCGAAGAACCCTTTTCTGTTCCACCATGACTGTCCCCTGTGTACAAAGCCAGCTCCGTATAGACATGGTGTGACCAGTATGGTGGAGGAGCTCGAGTGTCCTGCACAGAGCCCTGACCTCAACCCGACTGAACACCTTTGGGATGAATTGGAACGGTGATTGTGAGCCAGGTCTTCTCCAACATCAGGACCTGACCTCACAAATGGGACAAATTCCCATAGACACACTCAAAATCTTGTGGAAAGTCTTTCCAGAAGAGTGGAGGATGTTATAGCCACAAAGGGGAGGGAGGGGCAACTCCATATTAATGTCTACGGTTATGGAATGTCCAACAAGCTCGTATAGGTGTGCTGGTCAGGTGACTAGAAATTTTTAGCCATCTGGTGTATTTTGAGAAGGTTTGAAAAATAAACTGGGAAGTAGACATGTGCAGCGGCTAAAAATTTGTTTAGTTACGGATTTCGTTTATTTAGTTTGTGGAATTAGGATCCTATATGTGTTTCGTTTCGGGAATCGGATTCGTATTCGGAATTCGTGTCGGATTCGGAATTCGGATTCGGAATTCTGACGAATTCCCGAAAATACATCTTGAGGTGGGGTAGCAGAATTGGCACATTTGTCATTTCTGGTTGCTGTGCTCTCGTCTTTAGTATTAAAGGTCAAGCAAAACAAACGACAAACGCACTCAACAATTCGTCACCAGTTATACAGTAAGGTGCACACGAAATGGGCTTTGAACAGTAAAACAGCAGAAAGGCATCATGGCACACTCACAAACCAGCATGTAAAACATTAAGGTTAATGACAGAGGTTTGGATACACGTCTTCTGCAGAGGATGTGAAAGCCGCACTGCCGCGCCAAGGCACCTCTTATAGTGCGGTCCTAACTCTAAACTATGAGAGTCTCCATCTTGGAGCACATGGGGGCAGAAGATATCAAATTGGGTGCAGGTCTGTCAGGAGGAAGCCCCACCTCCTTAAAAGCACAGAAACACACAAGGGATCCCGCACATCCCAATGGCAGCTGAGAAACCCCCATGCGTCGCTGCACCAAATCGGTCAAGCAAAACAAACGACAGAAGACGTGTATCCAAACCTCTGTTATTATCCTCAGTGGTGAGACAAGTTGTTTTACATGCTGGTTTGTGAGTGGCACACATGATGCCTTTCTACTGTTTTAGTATTAAAGGGACATTAAAATCCTTCTCTTAATTTGTTTTTATCCGTTTACTTCGTTCCAAATCCGAAATTTTCGGTTTCGGATGCTTTCGGGTGATTACATTTCGGAAATTCGGATGCTCCGAATCTACGAATTTCCGAAATTTCGTCCGAATTTCGATTCGGAACTAAACAAATCGCACGTGTGTCTACTGGGAAGTGTTCTGAAAACGAGCCCGAGCCCCTTTTCTTTACAATAAAACACAACTTTTGCAAACAATATTTTTGCAAACTTTGAAGGAACCGATGTGATTCTTGACTCCTTAGGATGGTGGAAGGAACCGTCAGGGCCAGCTGTGGACGCAATAGCGACGAGTTGTTTCACCTTTAGCGGCCGCCGTTCCCATAAGGCAAGCACGCCTACCGGTACTTGGGATGCCCCCAGGACTTGAACTATTTGCTCTGATCAGGTCATGCCACAGGCTGGCCCCCAGGAACAAGTACTGACTGATGTCAAGGGACAAGACAGGAACAGGAAACACATACAAGACAGAAACTAATACAAGATAAATACAGGATACAGGAAACAAGACAGGTATAGGATTAAAGAGCCACGGCAGGACTAGGTTACACGATCAAGGCAGGACTGGGATTCAGGATAGGGATGCAGGCTTGTGTAGACAGAGCAAAGACAAGACAAAGCTGGAATTTCCACAAGCTCAGAGCTCGGGGCTTGTGATGCTTAAATAGAGCACAACTAACCAACGTCCCAGGCTGCGAGCGGCGTGTAGCCGGGCTGATTAGCCTGACCAGCCTGCAGCTGACTGGATTGTGGTAGGTGCAATTACAAGAGGCAACCACCAGATGGAGCTGAGTGGTTGCGACAGCGATAGGAGCATTTGACAGGAACAACCACTGCTCGCAGTGACAGCTTTGCAAGTTTATTTGGAAGAGAAGAGTTACAAAGTAAAAGTAAAGATTAGAAAGTAGCGATTAACGCACATGGAGATCCTCAGACAAGGGAAGTGTGCCAAGGACCTAGCCATTGTCAAAACAGGATCCTTCCTGGGCAGGTGCCTTGTGTAGGACCTCTGAAACATAAACGTTAAGGTTGATGCATGCCAGTGTTAGGTTAGGATTTTGGCTGGATTGGACCTCTAGTAGACCCGCTCACCCTGCTGGCCGCCCCAATCTAAAGGTGTCCATACACTGCCGCGATCGTACGAGAATCGAGCAGTGTGAACGAAGACGTGCGACCGTTTCCACTGTACGGTCGCACGTCTTTTGTCTACGGAGCACGCTAGAAAACAAGCCGAGAATCGTACGATTTTCGGCTGGTTTGAACGGTGCTTGGGAGACAAATGCCGAACGGGCCGGTGTGCGCACGCGCACACTGCCCGTTCAGCATTGCGGTCATCGGAAGCCCGCCACCTCAGGGGGGCGCGGCTTGCGATGATCGAGAGTACGATCTGCCTGTCCAAGATGACTAAGGTCTTGCGAGGGTTGTAAAGTGTATGGCCACCTTAAAGGACTAGATAATCAGCATACTTGGTGGAACCAACATGAACGCACAGACTCAGGAGGTATGAGATGGGCACATAAACAT